AGAGCGCACTTCGATTTCATCGACATCCGATCCAATGTCTGCTACCTCATTCAGATTCTCATCATAGGCGAGCTCTCCAAGGGGTCCAGAAACATCATCCGCCAGTGCATGCTCCTGAAAGTTACACCTGATTCCCTAAAAGCCTTTCTTGGCTTTCGGATCGACTCAGCAGAATGAATGAGTTATTTGAAAGGAAGCGCTGTTATCGTACCTCGATGTTGCCCAGGAAGGCGCAATGTGACAAAAAAGGTCTGTTTCTTTGCAAAAAATGTGCTAGGTCCGGATGCGCGTATGTAGAATTTGACAAAGCAGTTGAAAAAAACGGAGAAATAGTTCGGGAAATTGGAAAGGTTGGCTTAGTATTATAAAAGGGCTCTAGATGAAACCACAGAGGTTGTCCAATCTTACTGAAATGAAATCTCGCATTAGTATTGAACTCGAAGGTTTAGCGGTATCATAATTTTTCGTTATTAGCATCGGTGCAGTTATGAAATGCGTCGACCCATCAAGCATCTGATGCCCAACTTTGATGTTAATGCACAATTGGTCCAAGTCCTAGATGGTTCAGCAACTCAAGAACTTGGTGAAGGATCAGAAATGGAACACGATCACTTGCTGAGCACCTGACTCGGTTCAACTGTGTGCACACTCAATTGCTGCTACTTTTTCAGAACAGATTCCGCTATTTACCACTTTCTGTCTTTCACCTCCAACACCCCGCCACCGTTGGATGTGGTGATTGCGAGAATTTGGAGACATTTGTATTCAGACGCCATGCATTGGTTCTTATTATTTGTTATTAATTCAAACCACTGACTCTCAGTGCCTCCGTTCGACCACCTATGCGACATGTAGGAGCTGAGGTTTCGCTGTCACCGCGAAGACTACAACGAAATTGATGGTGCTCAAAATCCGATTTCTTATCAGCCGTTATCGATTGTTATCACTTTTGATCACTCACTATTCGTGTTCCCGTAAGATCTCCCACATGTTGCAAGAGTCCAAGGTTCAACTATCACCGAAAAGGCCGCAACGAAATTGGCGATACTCACGACCCTTATCCGATATTATCAATCGCTACCACCATTTTTCACTCACCTTCGTGGTCCCCGCCTCCCCTCACATAATATAATGATATGAAAATGTCACTGCCAGTGTAAAGGGCGCAACGAAACTGGTGGCCTTGGCATTCCGGCACACGCTATAGGCCTTGATCACTTGCCACTTGCCTTTTTCGTTCCCTGTTCGGGTCCCGTCCCAGAATACATAAATCTTGTGAGTGCAAACTTTCCACTGTCAACGCGAATGGCGTAACAAAATTGGTCACTCGGCTTCCCGCGTCCGTTATCAGCTCTAATCAGTAGTTATCAATTCCGATCACTCCCATCAATGTTCGTGTCCAGCCCCTACACTCACTGAAAATTTGAGGCTCTGGGCCCAAAGGAGAGGAGTTATTAATTTCCGGTCAGACACAAAACAACCTCTCCGATTACTTATTGTAGGGTTGTATACGAAATGAGGCATAAAGTTGTCAAAGCATCAAGCTTCAAGGCAGGTGGAATGACAAATGCGTGTTGAAGAGCGGCCGAATGGCTACTGTAAAGAAAATTCTGTAGCTTCAAGGGAGCGAAATGTTTCGTTGTCGTGGACAAAAGTCGCGCCCGTAGCAGCTTGATCAGGGTCAAGCTGCGTGAAGGATCCACAGCGAGGGGTAATGTATCAGGTCCAGTGAGAGTGGCGTACGCAAGTGAGAGGACCAGCAATGGTAAGAGCAGCGATGACCTGTTCAGAAGTAGATGGGGACCACGACTTGCGCTCGATGTTGCTGGACTAGATGTCGAGGAAGTAAAACTGTTACTGAAGCGAGATAGTATTAGGTTGAGAAAGAAACTTTGAATATTACTCTCTAGAGTTTCTTAGAAACCAATGGGATGGGCCTCATAGAGCAGGTGAAAGGTCCCTAAATTTCTGTTAGGTGGTAACTCGCCTCTATAAGTGTAAAGCAACAATGACTTCAGTTGAAAGCCGCTTGCCAGCCTTTCGTTTTTATAAGTCATCCACTGAAGCCACATTTTGACATCCTATCTACACCTGCGCTGTACTCAAGAAAGCCAACATCCCCCATCTCAATACCCGCGATTGACATCAGCGCCTTCCTTTGGGAGAAATTTGTCCAAAGGATAACCTCGTTTTGTGTATGTTCGAAAGTTGCATAATATTTGGAGACATAGGAGCTCTTTATCCATGAATAGAACGATGGGTTTTCCGAGCTACTTCATGATGACTGCGAACCGAGCCAAGCACAACGAAATGGCCTTCTCCTCAAGTTACGAATGCAAAACGTTTCAAAATTCAGTTTATGGATGCGTCTTCGATTAATATTCAGTACCACAATCAGATTTGTTGCTCCTGATGTAGTACACATTTTATGAACGTGACCTTATAATTATTGAAACCGTGCAAAAACCACATAATAATTATAAAAGTTTGAAGAAAGGTTTGCTCCCACCACAATTGCTACGCTCTTTATTAGCATAAGCAGAGGTCGAAAGGAACAAGGTTTATGGAGATGAGCTGGCGCTCTACGGACGGTGAGGTACATGGAAGTTGAGGACACAGCAGAAGGAGCCACATATGTCAATATTGCTAGGGAAGCTAAGACCAATCGAGTGGTAACATGGGAGAGAGCACTGTAGAGGTCTTGAAGGATGCTGAAGCATAACCATAATATTT